AGGACTGTTGAGACGAGATCAAAGCAGGTTGCAGAGGTTGTGTGTGAAGTCTGTGGCCCGAGTTTGAACTTTGCCTCATCCTGCAGCAGGCCGTGGTGGCAGAGGAAGCTGGCTATAGCAGAGAGGGGGAGGAAGTCACAGCGCAAACTACATCAGGATATTAGACAGGAAGTACATCAACTCTCCAACTCATCCCTGAATGCTGGGAAGGACGCGGCTAATGATAAATGGTGACGACGCCAATGGATAAAGGATTTCAATATTTCATTATAAATCTCAAACTGATTAACTTAACTGCCTCCGTTTGAAACCTGACCTGCTTACAGGTTCGTGAACTTCAGGGTCTTTTGGACTCTAAATTCCACAAATTTTCAGAAATTTGATTAGTTTGATTCTCACTGCAGCAACATTTTATCTCTGCATCCTTTTAGGGGAAGTGAGAAAAAAGCGCAACAAACCAAACCAAGTTTTCTTTTTAAATGAACAAAGTTTGGCATTAAGGAGGGTTTAAAAAACAAACAAACAAACAAACAAAAAAACAACTAAAACCAATAGTTAAAAGGTTTATTGCCCAGACTTCCAAATAACATAACTTCAGAGTGATGCTCTCTGAACTTATCTAAGGTTGTAGCAGCGAAGAGATTTTCGTACCAAGAGTCTGCATGAATATTCATCGGCTCGTCAATGGAAATATTACATTTCCATATGATGTTCTTATTAGTCCATGGCTCTCATTTGAGCTCCCAGGTTTGGTAAACAGCCAAAACCAATAACTAAAGATTTATAATTAACATTTTAATGAATTATTCAATAGGGAAGTGCATAACTGTGTGAAAGGGAAGTGGTCGATATTTTACTAGACTATTTTTTTTTTCAAATAAAAATCTGACTGTGGCCCCTGAAGGACCACATTTTGCAAGAATTAAAGCTGCCATATCTCATTCCCACAGCATCATGCTGCCTCCACCATGTTTATTGGTCAAGATGGTGTGTCAAGACTGATTTGCAGGTTACGTTTTCCACCACATTGCGTTCGCAATGATTATTTTAGTGATCAATTATGCTACTTATTCTGATGATGAATCAGGCAAGCGGATAAAAAAATTGGCAAACCTTGCAACTTTTTTATTTATCCGCTTACACTTTTTTTTATTGTATATATTGTATGTATATTGTATACTACAAGTATACAATACTTGCAGTATAACTGCTTCAAAAATGTAAAGTTTACCCGTCTTTGTTGTGATGTGCCTTTATGCCAACAAAAAACAAACCTGCAGTGTAAAATCCTTCGACAGGCAAAAGGTGTATTGATGATATTCAACAGAGAAGGTTTGCTTTGGAGACATTTTCATATTTACCTCTATGGCAGAGTGACAGTTCGTCTCTTTCTATGCATCAAAGTTGTTGTGATGCAAAAAAAGAAAAAACTGCTGTGGTCCACCTGCTGCATGTAACTGTGTCGTGGACAGCTGTGAAAAGTGTGGAAATGTTTGACATTATCCCGTCTGCAGGATCACACTCACTCACACACGAACGCACGCACACGTACGTGTCTTCTTCCTCTGCTACATACCGCGAATGTCAAAGTTGGAGCACTGACAGCGAGCAGCTCTGTTAACCTGATACAGACGCTCAGAGGAGCACAGGGGGATCATTGCTGCGGAGAAGGGGTCGTACTTCAGTCTGTCGGTGACTCAAGTGACCCCTTGGTCAGCCCTACCAGTCTGCATGCTGCAGTGAGGCTTTAATTAGACATAGCTGCTTTGCCACTTGCGCTTTTATAGTGAATTCTGTCCCATTAATGATGTTTTTGTTTGCACGAAACCTTGAAAACCGTCAGCAATCGAGCCTTAAGTTTATTCTTATAGACATAAATGTTGCTCTACAACGCCAGCATTTTACACAGGCATGTATTTATGAGTACATGTTTGTGTGAAGTCCAGAAGCAGCCCCCACCGAGTTGACAATTTCCCTCGTCTTTCTAAACCGCAGAAGAGGAAGAATCTGCCTGGACCCCCAGGTTTCCGCGACGACTTGTGACAACGTGACCCGAAAATGAAACGTCGGAGCTTCCCGGAAAACAGCCTCTGTCTCTGTCTGCTCTGGAAATGAGCGCAGATTGGTCTTTTGCTTCAAAACAAGCTCATCTATAATGATTTGCCACGCAACAGGTCAAAGCGCCGCCGCTAATGCCAGCGAGATAAAAGCCTCGGAGGAGAGAAAGTGCATTTGCATCCTTCCTGCTGGGAAATTTGGATTCCATATTTAATAGGGCCCTGGGCTTTTACACCAAGACTCTGAACTCAAAATGAAATGAAATGAAATAAACACCTTATTTATTTTGAACATGTAAAATGTCAAAATGCTGTGTTAAGACAAAAGAAGAAAACAAAAAAATATATAATAATAATAAAGCATAGTTTTTATCAGCTACACTAACAAGCTAAAGATGTGAATACTTACCAGAGCAAGACAGAAAAAAGAGAGCATAGGACAGTTGGTGTGATTTTCTGAAAATGCAGAGGCCACACATTTTACCATTAAATGCACCTGGACAAGGAAATGTGATGGCAAAGACTCATCAAGATGTTGAAGAAAATCTCCTGAACGCCACAATTATCTTGACAGTCTAATAATACCATCAGTCCTACACAAAGTAGGGACTTTGCATTGGATTGAAGAGATCAATAGATGTCTTCACGTCCAGAATTTGACTTCTAACACCAGAATCTTTTGCAAAGCAAATGACCCCTGAATATAGTCACAGAATAAATATATATATATAAAGAAGCAGCCTTTATGCCACTCTGCTGCGTAGCTGGTGATAATTTGAGAAATGCTTATTTGCATATATGTTATGCTTTTTTTCCCCCTTCTGGTTCAGGCATACAAAACAGACAACAAAAATAAAATAAAATAAAATCAATTTATTATTTAGCCCCAATTTTTTTTTTTTTTTTGATACTGGAAACACTAAAAATAAATAAATGAAAAATAATCTTCTTCTGCTGCAAAGCTCCCACACTAAGTCCAAGCAATAATCCAGACAGATTACAAGAAATCACTGTCCCCTTTTCATCCATGCTTTCAATTGCTTTCAGCAAGAATTTAGTCTTACAAGTTGAATGTTTTTCATACATGCTCTATTTTTAACACTGCAGGGAATAAAAGGAGCATAGCTTCTCCACTATTGTCGCCATAATGCTAAGTACCCAAATTTAGAACAACATGCTTCGCAGTGATCAATCAGTTTTTATATTTTCCTGGCAAAAAAAACAGACTTCGATCTAACACTCCTCAGGTTTTCTGCCGGTTCTCCAAAGGTTTTCATGGGCTTTACATCTTGTGCAAAAAAGCAGATAATTAAGGCTTAAATGACTGAATGATGATGAGATGGCATTTGAAATGAGTCTTTATTACAATTAGAAAGAAAAGTGTTAAGATCATTTATATATGCGCCCATCTGATATGATCAGATGAAATATTGCTGCAAAGTCAATTATTTAATGCCATCTTTTTGGTTTCTTCATATAAAATCATTTGTAATCCCTTTTTTTTCTCTTTCTCCATCCCCTGACTGATACCTTTCGACAATGAGATGCCTCTTATCGTCTTTGTGGACCACAACCGCTGCTGAACTATAAATATAAATGATGACTGTTGAGCGCTGGTTCTGTTTAACCCGAGTTTGAATACGAACACAACCACATCCCCGCTCGGAGGAAAGTGTGCACGCTAACATTACGCAATCATAATTTTAAGAATTTTTTCCGTAGAGCTGGTTTCTGTTTTTAATGAAAAATACTTCTTACGTTATTCATTTATCTTGCTTCAATTTTTCCACCACCAAAATGTTAACAGGCTTGTGTAGGTTTTCAAATAATTTTAAGAAGCATCAGCTGAATTACACTGGACCTGGAAATATGCCTATATAAATGTCTTGGGGTATATATTCCTGGGTGATTGATATTATAGTTAACTGACTTAATTAGCTACTTGACGGAGAGATTGAAGCAGCGGCCAAAACCAAGAAACGCCTTTGAAAAACCTGCAGAGAATCTGGAGGAAAACAGCTTGACATCGCCCTGATGTCAAACTGTTTTCAGGTGACAGCTCCTTTGAAAGAAAATGCAAAAGAAATTATTAATAACTCAAGATTTCTTCATAGTAACTTCTACCCCCCGCCCCCCAAAAAAAAAAAAAAAATTGTCGTTTTAGTCTATTTTATCCTCAATTTGTTATCTGCCAGACATACAAAGAATTAAAGGTAAGTTTCTCGCAGCGTTCGAGTGCTGAAACTAAAAACATCCCCTAACATTAATAATAGTAAAAAAAAAGTTTTCCTTAATAGATATTGATTATATTATAAAAGAGACACATTAACTGTGGACAAGGTCTCCCTTTCAGAGCGCTTCTGCAGATCCGGCTTCACTGCGGAGAACTGTATGCAAACTTGGGGGCCACAGGTAAAGACAGACATTTGTAAAGAGAAATATCCGCCGACGGACTTTCAAAATAAAACGCAACCGTATGATGTCATGAAAATAGGAGTCCCTCGAAACTTTTAACTCGTCCGTGTCCAGATTTGACCCATAAAAAGAATTTTTTTAAAAAAATTTAAGGTTGTGGAGCTCTCAAAAAAAGTGACAAGTGAGAATTTCTGCACGTTTTTTCCCCGATACACCTTCAACTTTCAGAAATAATTAACGTGATTTCTTTTTTACTTTAAATAAATTCAGTCTTTATCTCAAAGAAGTAAAACGACAGAGAAAAATACAAAGAGAGGAAAATTATGTAAAACAAACAACAAAAAACAAAAACATAAAAACAAAACTTCCACGTCCAGTTCGGAAATAAGTGGAGAAGAGGCAGATCTTGTCGAGTCCTAAATAATAACAGATGACCGCAAAACCACGACTCCTGTGGGCTCCAACGGGGATGGTAATAAGACGGTTTAATAACACGGGACGAGTCATACGTTCGCCCACGCCGTTTTATTTTGAAAGGGATATCAGCGCACTTCCGGTATGAGTTCCGTTTCACACACCCCCCGTCCGACTTGACGGATAAAAGTTGAGGAGAGAGGCCAAGTTCCCATTGAAAGCGGCTCACCGCTCGGGTTGCAACCAGAGAGGAGAGGCGCGCGGGGCGAGACCGACCTGATCCGGCACACCGCGGGAAGCACGAGCGCGCAACGACACGCGTGGGAACGAACAAGGAGAGAGAAGGACACTCCGTGGGGACGCAGAATTTCATTTGCGTTTAGGTAGATTTAAGAGTTGCGTTACTAGAATTACGCACCAAGGTGCAGCAGCTGTTTTTGTTGTTTGTTTGGTTTTCTTTCACGCGCAGACCTTGAGGGATGAGACATAACGCGCTTGAGCAGAAATTTGCATTATTCTCACGCTAAAAAAAAAAACCAAACTAACTAACAAAAAAAACTGTTAAGAAGCGGGAGCTTGTTGAAGGCTGATCATTTTTTCCGTGTGGCATTTTGCAGTGAACACTTTGCCACATGTTGACGGACGCGTTCAGAGCCGCACGCGCACTGGCTTGTGGACGCAGCCTCAGCTGAACTGAACTTGGACACTGTGGGAACTGGTGTGGGCAGGCAGGAGGACCGTGCGGTAAGTCGTCGCCACACCTGCGCACTGGTCCCACCGCCCGGAAAACCCTCCGAGTTGAGTTGTGATAAAAGACCGATGGACAGCTTCGAGCCAGACGTCTCTCCACGCGCGTGAGTCACCGAGAGCGAAAAAAAACAAACAATTCAAAACCGTTTGGACGAGAATATTGTAACAGCGCGTGCTTTTGAGCGAAAGCGGCCACACAGCTGCACGCGACACTCCTGGGACGAGGCTCGGTGGGGCTGTAGGATTTGGACCCCTGGGGCTGTGTGCTAAATGCCCAGCCGGACCCCTGCGGCTCCTCAGCCTGGGCGGAAACATGAAGACCTGGGTGCTGCTACCGCTGCTGCTGGGCGGCTGTTGGGTCTGGCAGGGAACGCTGAGGTAAGCCCTCGTCGGGAAAACGTAGAGTGGTCTAGTTAGGATGATGGAGGGCCTTAAATTTAAAGTTAGATGATGGAAATAAGTGGCTGTGTGATTTGACTCAGATTTATTTTGGGGGCAACAATACATCACATTTTACATTACAGTCGAGAGAAAGAGTTTGGACTAATTTTACTCTGAATCATTTTGAATAGGTTTGGATGAGGATTGTATTATTTTGATAACTTTACACCCCTATCTAATGTGCATCCTGTGACATAGATTCCCAGCTATGATAAAATGGGTCTGAAACTGTAATGGAGGCTCAATATGTTGATGGCCAATGAAGGGTCAATTCAGGACTACTTTTGGGTAAAAATTGGAATTTTGTGCAATTTGAGTTTCAGTGTGTGGAATGTTAACACAGGGTTGTGCTATTTGGTGGCATATGACACTTCAAGTTTCATTCATTCATACATTTCATAACTGTAATATTGTGATGGACTCTAAAGGCTCCTGACGTCTGCGCCTGATGGACATGGGACTCACAAGCCTTCTAGATACAAACTCAATGGACAAAACTTTATAAAGATCGCACTGGGGCAGAAGCCCAGGTCCTCATTTCTAGGAAAAGATGTAGTTTTGTTTTTTTTAAGGAAAGTGATAGTAAATTTTTTCGAAACAATACATATTCAATCTACCATGCGTAAGTTTGTATCCACTGAAGTACAAGACTGAATATACAAGGTTTCCCCCAGAAAACTTGCTAAGCCTGGCGGTTGGGGCGCTCAGGCAATCATTCATTCAGCGGCCCGCCGTGTTTCTGAGTTAAAAATAGGGGATTTGAAAATATCACCTGATAATTATGTGTTATTGAAAGATTAGAAGATTAACATCCGAACACCAACTATAACGTTTTTCAAAATCCAAACATAAAAACAAAAAAAACACTTAAGTAAGCAATGCTCAGCCTGGTGGGGGCACTAGTAAAGCCTCGTGGCCCACCAGGCTTGTAATGCACTGGGGGAAACCCTGCATATGGACAGGGCACAGGGCCAAGAGGCCCACATCCCTCTAAATCCAGCCAGCAAACAGGCTTGATTTGGAGCCACTTTGGATAAAACGTCAGACCCCATATGGTCCAGAAAAATTAGAATTTCAGCTGTTTATGTTTTCTTCTATAGGATAGCTGCTAAAACAGGAGCTGATGCTCAGTGAGGTTTTCCCTTTGCGACTCGGTAGATCCGTTTGAGGCTTGTGTTCAGGTGCCTGGAGGAGTCACTCTGTCGCTGGAAGATGGAGAAGAAAGGCGAGATGTTATCTCTGCCTCCATCCAGCAGAGATTAAACTGCGATGCTGAAATAGTTTCTTTCTTTCTTTTTTTTTTAACTTTATCATTACAGGTGTAGACCGGTTCCCAGTTCCTGAAATCATTTTTCTCAGAACGGATTCCGTTAGAACATTTTGTTTCCCTTAGCTTCTTGTCAGCCCATCTACATTTACAAAAACAAACAAGCAAACAAAATCCTGTTAGTTTGTTGACAAAATGAAGCTTCACTTTGACATGTATAGTGATTAACATTTAATGTGTGCTGATTATTGATATGGCTTGAGCAGAAAGGTCTTAGTCTTTGTCTTAGTGAATGATCTCCCAAAACCAGCCCTCCAATTAACTTCTATAAAAGCAGGAAGTGCTTATAAATAGAGAGACTGATTAGTTGTATTTTTCAAGAATTTCAACTCCCACCCTTCAGGCTGTAAAACAAGTAAAAGATAAGAAGAGGAAGCTGGAAATGAATTAATTGTAAGATTTTCACAGAACATGAATCAAATATGTGTCTCAACTTTGCAGATTGTTGTTCAATGAGTTATATAGATTGAGCAGTTCAGAAATAAAACGAGTTGTTCAGAGTACATGTGGGAGAAAAAGAGAATGGAGATCCAACTTAAAAAGAATAGTAATTATGTGTTGCATGTAACTGAATTAAGTTTGACAAACTTAATATTTTGTACGTTTAACATGACAACTTGATAAACTTAATACATTCACTTGGATAAACTTGCATGTAACCACAAATTAGCAAAAAAAGTAAGTTGGGGCTCTGTTATCTTTCCTTTGGTGTGCATTTGTAGAAGAAAATTTGTGGAAATTCTTGGTTTTGATGCTTTTAGATCAGATTTTTCATCATTTGACTGTCCACTTTGCAGATCCATGGCAAACTTGTCATTTCTGGCTTATTGGCTAAACCGTTAGCATGTGCAATCTGTCGGCAGAAAGGGAAGACGACGTTGTTTTAGTGCTGCTTCCACTTGTTGCTGCTCGTGTTCTCAGTAGAACCAGGAAGATGGAGCACATAACGCCAGTTCTATAGTCCCTGCACTGGCTCCCTATAGCTCAGAGAAAAGACTTTGAAATACTATTGTTAGTTTGTTAATCACTGAACGGCTCGGCACCACAAGATCTGCAGAACCAGACCCAGAACCAAACGAGGAGAAGCAGCATTCAGCATCTATGGTCCACAAGTCTGGAACAAACTTCCAGAAAACTGCAAAACAGCTGAAACACTGACTTCCTTTAAGTATCGGTTTAGAGTTGGATTTGATACAAATAAAACTTGATTGCTTGACTTGTTGAACAGACGCCACGTTCACTCGCTTGATTAGTCAGCAATTTTTCAGTGCAGCAACGTCCTTAGCGCCGTGTCTCGGCTACCGTTCATGATCCAATAACACACTGCCGCTTATCCTACAACGTGTTGTCGAACACAAGCTAAGCGTGTTCACACATGCGCCGGGAATTGTTATGTTTCGTTTTCAGATCCACTGTAAAAGTTGCTGGAGTTACACCCACAAAAATGCTCTCACGTCAAGTTGGACTTCAGCTTTTTGTTTTTTCTTTCCCTCCTCATCATCTTCTACTTAAAAAGTAAACCACTGTCGATTGGTGATTTTGAAACAGGTTGTTTCTGTGGCAATTGTCTCGGCGCACAAGCCGGCCGCCGCCTGTCCGCTTGATCCATTTTACATAAGAACAACGACTAATCTGCCAGGGGATTTCGTGCAGTTTGTGCTCCGTGTGTGCGCTCACATCTGGACGCCTGGGTACATGTTAGAGTGACATATGTGGATGTGTGTGCGTGCGTGCGTGCGTGCGTGCGTGCGTGTGCGTGCGCATCAGGGGTTAGAGCTCCAAACGTCAGATAGAAAATGTTCAGTGGCACATAAGAGCATTTATTCGTTAAGCCTCATTTGGTGTGATTTCAGCAAAAATCTGATTAATGACAAAAGATACGATGTTGTGGATGATCGCTAATGTTGCAAATCTCAAAATTATATTTATATATATTTTTTTTAAGGATGCATGACAAGTTTTATCAGAGTTTTGGACAGATGATGCAGCTTGGGATGAATCAAAGATTATTGCAACATGCATCAAAGTGACTCATCCATTTGTTCAGTTAGACTCCCAACACCTGGAAGGCTTTTACTCTGAAGCCGATGCAAGTATGTGCAGAATGTAGCAGATTTCATCACAGCAGCTGGTCTGAAAAGATGTTTTCAGATATTAGTCAACACAATAAGAGGGCTACGGAGCCATTCCATTGAGTCATCTGGTTTTCGAGCCAGCGCAGTGGAAATGTTTGCATCTTGTAAAGTTTCACAGCAGTAGCAAGGACTACTCCAGTGGTTAACTTCAGACGAAAAATGGTACGTCCCTGTGGCGAATGTTAAAATGTATGTTTTTGCAACACTATTGGAGAAACTTTGGCGATATATTATACAATTAACTCACAAACTGAGCTATCACAATGATAAATTTTGCTGGACGATCAATCGTCCCTGAATTTATCACAGTAAAAAATAATGATGTTTTGAAGCCAGTTTCCCGAAATATTACTGTAATGCTGCAATAATGCAAGAGCACATTCTCAAAGATCAAAACACTTTGAATTCTAACATTTACCACTGGAACTGGGAGACATTTTGAATATCCAAAACAAATAAAGCAGAAATGACAAATGAAATAAATGATGAAATCTCTGTAAACAAACAAAAGGACTAGTTGAGCACGATATTAGAAAATATTGCAATGACTATAATATAGATAAACGTGATGACAACATTGATAAATATTGCAAAAGTATTGGTAATATTGGTAAAAATTGTGATGGTGATTGGTAGATATTGCGATGACAACAATGTACGGTAGATAAATAATAATATAATGATAATATTGCATTAACCATTGCAATATGTGTTTATTTTCTTTGTCATCTGTGCATCTTACAACCGTTAGCATTTTTGGAAGATGCTATTTGTTCATCCACAAGCCTGTATCCAACATGCGAAAAATGACATTAAAATGTAAAATGAAAGTTCAGAACAATTTGAACAACTTAGCCAACTACTATTGGACTCCAAACAATCTGTTGCAATATGAATATTGTGCATAATTATTTCACATCAGATCCACAAAGTGACTGTGTTAGTAAAGTTCACTTTACTAATCACTAACATAAGACCCTAAAAGGTGACTCTCTTTCAGACAATGTGCCGCATTCTCACTGTTTCTTCTTTAAATAAATAATAACTGCTCATCCAGGCAGAAAAGTTTGATTACATTAGCTCGTTGGACCAAACCATTTTCACTTTGGGTTTTGGTTCAATGCAGGAATCTGTGTGGCGTCCAGGAACACAAAGGTGACAGCTTCCCATTAAAAGAAGAATGTTAACTTGTGTACCCATGCAGTCGGAGTTAATCGTTGTTTTCTCAACTCCTCTCCTCTTTTCTCATTTACCGTCCCTCCATCCATCATCCACACCCTCATCTCTTCAGGCAGGGGTGGAGCGCAGCATGCGTGGGGGGGGTGCTGTGTGTGTGTGTGTGTGTGTGTGTGTTTGCTTGCTCTGCTTGCTGCTGTGTGTGATTGAAAAACTACCCGCCGAGCTCAGCGGGCCTGGGTTTTTGTTTTTTGTGTTTTCTTTTTTTGTTCCTGCAGCATAAAGTTGGCGACCTGCCACTGCCGCGCTGATAAAAGAAGGCATGTGGCGTCGCATCTCGGCGCGACTGCGACTCAAGCGTTACATCGATTCTCCGGTGTTGTTTGCGTTTGGCTTCTGTTGAAAACTTTGATCGTCTTCTTGACAGCGTGTGTGCGCTGGCTGTCTGCTGGCCCCCCATAATTACATTCCATTACACACTCCACCTTTCTCCTCAAACATTCCTCACAGGCCCCGCTGCCTTCAGGGCTTCCTCCGAGGCTTCCTCCGAGGCCCCCTGGTAGTGTGTGTTCTTCACAAGTACATCTGCGACCTGCTTGTACGTCGCAGCAGCCCAGCAGATTGCCTTCTTTATTCACAATCTCAGCTACACACTTGCCCAGAAGCGACTGGAGATTTCTTCTGTGCAAATTGCGTGTGTTACATGAGAAATAAAGAAAAAAGCTTTGCTTTCAAATCACTGATTGCGCAAATTGGGACTACTGAAATAAATTTGCTTCAGCGTTTCTATGCATCAATTTCGATGCATCTGAAAAACCATCTCATCATACCACATTTTTTGTTGTTTTTTTAAAATCAAAAACATTTTGTTTTGTTTTTTAAATTGGTGTGTTTCCAAAGTCAACTTTGTCAGTTCATCGTACGAGGGATCAAAATTACAGATCTCATCGTCCCCCATAGAAAACTACAAACTTAAAAGCATCACACAATGATATGGATATAGTCAGAACTTACTATTTGCTTTTACTTAATATATGATGTTTGTAACTTTGTAGCTTCACACAAGGTGAAACTACAAACATGACTAGTACATATGATAAATTTACAATAAGGTTGATTCTGACTTTATTGTGCTACGATGAGGCTTTTTTCCAACCCAGTTGTATTGAATTCTGTGTATTTTGCAAAACCCCAACTGGAAACACTTTTTTTCGCACTACATGAATCGGCGTGATCAACATCTGCAGGCGGAAAAGACGAAGAAGGAAGCGACAGGAAGTGGTAGGAGGATGATGGCGTTTTTAGTCACTTGTCGTCTAAACAAACTTCCTCGCTGGTGATTTTAATTGAGTTTCGTTTTTAGCGGAAACGCTGCAATCGCAAAACTGTGTTTTCGTCAACGTCGGTGGAGAATCAGCAAAGTCTCGCACACGTTTGTAATGGAAACCCAGCCACTGTTGTTCGTCCAAATCTTGCTGCCGTTTTAAACCAGTGGTTGAAGCTTATTTCCTGGATGTGTGTGCCACTCTAATTTGAGTGGAGGGACCGAAATAATGGGCTGTTGTAGAGCGAAAAGTGTGTGTATGTGGGTGTGTGTTTGGCTGTAAGGCTGCCTTGACAAATTGGGCGGACAGTGGTTAAAGCATCTGGATGTAAAGGACAGAAAGAGATGAGGAGTGTGTGTGTGTGTGTGTGTGTGTGTGTGTGTGTGTGTGTGTGTGGTGTGTGTGTGTGTGTGTGTGTGTGTGTGTGTGTGTGTGTGTGTGTGTGTGCGTGTTTGCTAAAGTGGGTCAGCCAATGGCTGGTGAAAGTCATCCAGGTGTCCTTTGCCATCACTGCCCACCAAGCAGACGGAGAGCAGGGCAAAGAAAGCCGGGAGTGGAGGGGGGAATGAAATGAGAACAGCAGAAGATTCAGCTGGAGATGCTCTGGTAAAACAAAAACTAGGATTAAAACAACAGTTTTTTTCTCATTTTTATGCATGAGCAGCTGTTGATTTTGTGAGCATGATGGGCTGTAAAAACCGTCTCATTAGTTGTTTGCCAAAGAAACCAGAGTGTTTGCCGTTTCTCCCCCATTTGGTGGGAGCTAAATTTATTATGCAGCTGAGCAGAACGCAAAACCTTATTGAGGTAAACAAGCCTAGAAAAACAGAACCAAGGATGGAAAAAAACGTGGAGGAAAAAACTCAAGTCAAACATGTCTAATTTTAATTTTAGGCTTTCTCGCGGAGTTAAAGACACACACATTTAAATGAGCTGCCTTTTATGGGCCTGTTTCTATTAATGGTCAGAAGGCAAGTCATTAATAGAGATGCCTTTTGTGTTGTTCATTGTTGCATTACTATGGGAGAATAAAGAGGAAGTAATGAAACGTTGTGATCCAGGCCAAAACAAGAAAATCAAATTTTCAGGTAATAATGAAAGGAACTTTATGGAGCTCTGTGTTTCAGCAGTTTTGCAGTTTTCTTGAAGTTTGTCCCACATTAGAGGAGCATAAAAAGAGAAAAGATGTTGTGTGCTGAGTTTTGTTACCGCAGATTTGTGTGTTACAGCACCAGAGATGAGCTGTGATAAAATCACACAAATAAATAATAAATAAATGTCATATATATGACAGAATATATGACATATATATATATATATATATATATATATATAATATATATATATATATATGACATAAATCAAAGTAGTTTTTGATTTACGTTTCTGAAGAAGCAAAGATTTTAATCTCACAATTATTCAATCATCTCATGTTTCAGTTTCCCTTGGCATCTCATAAAAAAAGAACCTTCCACATTTCTCCGTTCTGGCAACCGTTTTCTGTTTACTGATGCAATGCGGAGTGAAGTCCAAAGCGCCAGCTGCTGATTATGCGGCCGCAGCTTTACTTGGTGTGTGCCGGTATTTAAAGTCATGATCGTGCGTCGTCGCTGTGATGCCAGATTTCTGAAGCATCATTTCACTTCCCAGCTGGTTGGACATAAGTAATGCGAGTGTAAATCACATTTAAAGGAGCTGAGGGTGAATTTGAATAAGGCAGCACATTGTCCATGTTGTCTGTGAATTTGGGGTATAAAAAAATGAAATTAAGCAACATGTCATTTGGCAGCATATTTACAGTTTTAAATGCACCTAAGGAATTTAAATTTGACTAATTAACATTTAGAAATATACACTAAGTGAAATTGTAGAGTTCGTTTTTTTTTTTTTCTCACAGTTTTCACTTCTCATGATCGCACTCCCTTAATTTGTTTAGGCATGTCTTTTTTTTTTTAAACGTTCCTGTATCAGTTATTTCTCTAAGATGGTATCGAGTAACAGCCAAGCAAAACAAAACGCTTCAAAGAACGTTCGCTGCCATCTCCATTTGATCTCCACAGTGGAACCACAAGCCTTTCCTGCAGCCAGATCCATCAGGACTCCCTGCAGTGGCACTCATTAAAACCTCATTAAGACTCTCCGTTCAGCTCTTTTCTTAAATAATGGATAATCTCACTACATACATTTTCAAAAATATTGAGGGAAAGAGAAAAAGAGGAGGAGAGAGGGAGGGGGAAGATGGTGGGGTCTTGTGGGTAAACAGACGAGGAAAGGAAGCAACGAACACCAATCACAAACCTAATTTCCTTCAAAGGAGGAAGTGAAACTGGAGCAAGTTTTGACTGGAGATCAAGGACAGAGATACTCTATAAAAACCACTTTCTTTTTTTGATGTTTTTTTTTTCCTTCGTCCTCCAGTTCCAACAGTTGCCCCTCTTGTTTTATTGTAAAAATAGTGGATAAAGTTTTCAAGTATTTTCCGTTTGGATATATTTCTATTTAACAAAATATAGTCACTGTTACATTTTTTAACAGTTTAATAAACCGACTAATTAACCAACAGAAGTTGCTCCAGATTGGAGAACCACTTTAAAATAAAATCACAATCACAGAAAACAAGCAGAATACTTTGTATAATTTTAAAACCATTATGATTAATAGTTTAATTGTATGGCCCATTGGTTTTAAGTGGGGTTTTTTTCCTTGATCTGCCACTAACAGCGTTTATATTTTTGTCAGCCATTTATTGGAGACAGTGTCATGTATATGTGATGGAGGAGTCGCTGTAACACAAGGTTATAATATTTTCTAATGAAAACAAAAAGATGATACAGCTGTGTTTAGCATCCAGTTTTAGCATGATTAGCATTAATATCTGTAAACAACAGTGTTATGTGTGGATCACCGGTAAACGCATAAACGGAAAAACAGATCAACTCTCTCCAGTGTTTAGCCTTCCTGGTATCTACTGAAATTCTTCACTCTTGAATGAACGGTGAAAGGAAATCTAGCCTTTTCTTTTTTTAAGGTGTCTCTTCCAACTTCATTGCAGAAAAACCTTCATGAAAAAAAAAACTGGAAGTTTTAGCTAAATTATTGAAACTTTTAATTTAATCTCATCACCTCCCTAAACGAGTCTGACTTCACTGGCAAACGAACTAGATTTTGGTTAAATCAGACTAAACACGGTCACAGAGCTGGAATACTGCAACGCACTGAGATTGTTGTGATCACTCGAAGACTGCGTAGCTCACTTTAACATTAATATTGTTTCCAGAACTAGCCAATAACACACTGTAACTGTATGTGTCTGTCTCCGCAGAGCGATCCACTCCCTCAGTCACTGATTGACCTGGTGTCGGACTCTCCCATCTCCTCAGTGGAGGACCTGAAGCTGCTGCTGCAGCAGCAGGGGTCCAACATAATAGGTACCACTGGCCGCGCACACACACACGCACACACACACACATTAATTAGACTGACATGGAGGAGGTGTGGATGGGGGTGTCTTAACAGTCATGAATGAAGGGAAATGCCGTCTGAGAGCGTGTCAGCAGACATTCCAGGCATCATTGCTCCATCGGTTAAGGGAGAAGTCTGAGAGAGAGCAGCTGCAACTTTTTCACTTCAGGAACCGAAACGGCGAGGAGAGGGAAACGCTTCCAGCACAAGGTCACTGAATTGTTCTGCTGCTCTGGATTCCTCAAAAGGCCTGAATTATGGATGTGAGCCTTCGTGCCACAGAACGACCGTGCATGCTGCGTGTTTTCCTCACCTCCGCACAGTCCAAGAACGAAGCAGCTCGCACTGCAGATCAGCAAGCCGTTTTAAAGTTCTGCCACGGCGGAACCAAGTCACACACACATGTATTAATAGATGGGACTTTGATCATCTCATAATGTATAAATAATACGATGACGTAACAGTGGCCACAGAGAGGAACAAGCAGAGGGAAGGATGTTTAGATACAGGACATGAGGGAAGTGACTCTAAATATTTTTAATTTAGAATAAACTTTTTCATGAGGCTGACGCAGCTTAGTTGTCTTTACGTGACATTCTAGCATGTAGCCAAGTGAGCCATTACAAATGATTTTATGGCATTTAAATAGCTTACTAAAAAAATTATTAAATTCACTAATCATAGGGCCAAACATCTACCCTTTGAATCAAAAATAAAAGCCATTTTGGATCTCCAGTTAACCCAACATTCATGCCCTATTGGACAATGGGAGGAAGGCTGAGTAGCATGTTGCTATCACACAATAATGCTAAATAATTATGAACACTAATTATTGACTTAGTGGCATAAATGATGAAAAACTTGTCGTCAAAAGATTTTTAATAAAGTATAAACCTGAGCTACACTTTGCTAATGCGACATTTACATGCTAGTAGTCTCACTAGCATGTTTATGTAGCCTCATTAGCCATGACACTGCTAAGTCTCTCTCAGAAACGATGGCTGAGAAATTCACATTTATTTTTTTTATTTTAGGAATCGACTTAACAATTTACATTTTATTGATTTTAATTGCCTGACAAAATGACAACAGGACAGTGTGCTAAACGTGTTAACAGAAAGTGCTTTGCACCAGATTTTGCTTCAGTTCATTTCCATCTGTAATGACCTCTGTATATTTAAAAGTTCTGAATGGTCTTAAAATTGATGCTCTACTAAATATGAAATAACCATTCATACTGTGAATGCTTCTTTCAACAAATGACAATACATAAATAAATTACATTTACAGTTTATTTAGATACAGATAAATGGACACCTAGCAACCTCTGAAAACAAAATCCTTCAACACCAGGCAGCTAATTAAAGTTAGCAGGCAACCAAGTAACACCTTTATGTGTGTTTTGGAAACGCACACACACTCACACATTGGCCAAAGCAGCCTACACCAGGGATATAATTAGGACTTGGGGGCTAAAGTATGAAATGAGAGTATACACACACACACGCATGAGTTATATTTAACAAGTCATATCTATGTTCAACAATTTTCTTGACAGCAGCAAGACAAATTGTGGCAGAAAATAGCCTAATTGTTTGAGAGAGGTTTAAAAAACAGGCTTCCTTTGTGAGTGGAACAATGAGCTGGGCATAAATCTGCCTAACAGGCTGGTCATGTTTTACATGTTTGACCTTTTTTATTCACGATCAATGCTGTAAAACGTAAAGGTGACCCAACTGTGCCTTATCCTTCTGATTTCTCTACTCCAGAAGATAAAGAGGACGAGCACGACAGTCCAAACCCAATCCACGGTCGATACATTAGAAGTCCTGGTAGGTATCCTCATCTTCTTCTGTTACCAGCATTGCTCTTTTTTTATTTTTATTTTTTATAATTCTTATCTTAGTTTTGGTCTTGTATTTCTTGACGTAGCCAATGTGCAAGCTCAGAAGGCGGTATGTAAACTCAGAACAGAGGTGCTGGAAATACCAAGATCCCTGGTGGATCCTGCTAACGCCAACTTCATGGTGTTGCCTCAGTGTGTGGAGGTGCAGCGATGTTCAGGCTGCTGCAACTCCAGATTGATGGAGTGTGCTGCCACTTCTAACATCACCCGAAACCTGGAGGTACGCAACAAATATCATTGCCATTAAAGCATGACTTCACCACCTTCTGTGAAGTGAGAGCTGAAGAAAGGTTTATCATGTTTAACTTCCTACAAATGGGGAAAAAAGCTACTTTATTGGTTAATTATATTTCTTGATTAGAGGATGTGAAGTCTTTATTTTCTTAAACTGGTTTGATAGTGTTTCTCTAAAGTGGTACTGCTCCCATAATGCATTGAAAATTTATTTCCCACAAATAAAGATTTTGTAAATCTCAAATGGTGAAAAAAATCCTGACTGCTTGGTGTTTGAGGTTTGTTCAAGTCAAGCAGATTTTACATTAGAAGTGAAACAGTGCAGTTAAAATAAATAAATAAATAAATAAATCTATTTGACATCACTACCTGCATCCCACTGAACACCGAGATATCTGCTTTTCCATTACTACTTTCCAGAACTACTTTCTTGCTTCACAATTTTGGCCTAGACAAAGTTCCGACATTGTCTCGCAACAACTGCTTACTCTGGGTTCATAAGAGTGGTGCACACTTTTATGAATTAATTATTGGAGCTGACAAAATCACTTGCTGAATCAGGATCAAGATGTGCTGCATCAGCCAAGTTTCAGGATACAAGCAAGGAATCTGTTAAACTGTTACATTAATGACAAGGTGACACTCTTGACCCAAATCCAACCTCTCAACCTTTCTGAAAATGATCATATTAGATTAAAGCAGTTTATGCAAATCAAAACCAAGTGAGGCTAAACTCTAACAAACTCCTCAAACGTTTAGCTTCACAAACTCTCGAGTCAAATCAACATTTTAACTATAAATCAAAGAAATTCAAAATAAAGTCCATTAAAAAATAAAAAATGAATGAAACAACAGTTCAGTTTGTTTTGTTGTTTTTACATTGAGGTTGCTATCTAATCTCTTTCTCAGGAGCGGTTGCTAATCAACATCCAAATGTTTACGCGTCTTTGTTGGGAAATGGTTCTGGATCTCACTACAGTAATAACATTTAACTGAAAATGAGTTCATTCAGAGGAGCAGATTGCAGAGTATGGACAGAGAAAAACACTTTTTAATTGACTTTAACGCTTCCTAAATAATGAACCAAACCAACCTTTTCATTTAAGAAGAAATGATTGGAATTGGACCTAAAGGCTGCTTGAAATGCAACAAAACAACCGTCTCCCTCCATCCCCCAAGTTATCACTTTGCTTTTTGGATCAATTCAAATTGTCACATATTAAATGTTGAAGTGACAACATACTTGTGCGTAATTCTAGCAGAACATTAATCAGTCACCCTGCACAAATTTTTGTAGGTTTTGTTTATTTTGTGATTTTGTTAGCAGACTGATATATTTCTGTCCTGACATGTTATTATGGAGTCAGATTAATGAGTAGGTATTAGAAAGCTGATGAAAGCTATGTGGTATTTCTGTTATATTGTTTGATGATGAATGATAACTTGCATAAACTGTTTGTAAAAATTCCCGTCTGTAAATTGATTCAAACAGGAATCTCAGCTTCACTTTGTGAACTTGAGGCGTAGACGGGTCCTGACAGGCAGCCACTTAAAACTATGGAATCAGATGTCAATACTAGGAAATCAACAACATTAAATATGGATTGTTATACTGACTGGCCATAGCTGATCAGGTTCAACAGGTTGGACTCCATTTGCCTTCATCTCTTGGTAGCGTAGATTGAAAAAGGCATCAACACATTCCTTAGTGTTTGGTCCGTGTGGTTGTCATGTCATCACGCAGTTGCTATTATAGTGATGTGAATCTCCCTTTCCATCATATCCTAAAGTTGCAACAGTGTTGAGACTGATAGCGGAGGCTGCTGGAGTAACAAACAAACAGACATTTAACCCAACGTCATGTACAACAAACCGATGTGAGAAGATTCAAGTTTTGTGGCATACTAGAAGTTGCCATCAGAGGGGTAAATAAAGGTCATAAAGGGATAGGTAATGGTCAGCAGCAATCATCTTGTAGTCTTAAGAGGTCTAAGGCAGGGCTGCCCAAAGTGGATCCTGGAGGGCCGGCATCCTGCATGTTTTCGTTCTCTCCCGGGTTTAAAACACCTGAATCAAATGATGGCTCGTTAGAAGGCCTAAGGAGAACACTGACATGGTGAGGAGGTTGTTGGTACCACCAGGGAGAAAACATGCATGATGAAAACATGCAGGATGCCAGCCCTCCAGGACCCACTTTGGGCACTTCTGGTCTAAGGGACACAAAGAAAACAACCCATGATGCCCTGAGCAACTTGGATGTGTAGTGTGGATACAATGTCTTCGTGTTCAATTCTCAGACCATTCCATCCTCACAAGAAAGTTGGTTAAATCCCATTTTATCCCTATTTTGGTGCTTGGTTTGGACCTTGACAAGCTCTCTTCACCACATACAGCTGCCTAAATGTATTCAGCTGCTCATTTGTGATTGATTGATCACTCTTCATGTCAACCATCCATTGAACTGATTGATTTAGTCAAAGGGTGGGTGGGCATATTTATGCAATAGATTTAGAAAGCGGAACGTTTACAATTTCTATTGGATGCACCATCATGTCTTTATCAAAAACAGTTTTCTTATTTGGTTCTTCATCTGTCTTTCTCAGGTAAGAAAGATTGAGTTCAGGAACAACAGAAGTTTTATTAAACCCGTCGTCATCCCAGTACTAGATCACGTGACCTGTCAGATGAAGAGGAAGAAATCTAGCTCCAAATCGGGTTCTTCTTCTTCTTCTACTTCTTCTTCTACTTCTTCGACAACGGACTCGCTACCAGACCCTGTTCCACCTGTCCCACAAAGATATCCTGCATCCTCCCCATCAATGTTCCCAGCCCACAGCCCCTACCCACATCCACCAAAAGAGGACCTCCACCGCCACGACGATCTCAAGCACAACCAGCACCACCACCTTCCGCACAGGCAAGATCCGTTGGAAAGTCAGTGGGAGCAGGGCAGCTACACTCAGCTGGCGCGCTGGCCGCAGCCCCGAGTGCAACATGCCCCCACATACGCACAGACCCGACTCACGACGGCCGGATTTCTCGGCTCAGTCGGGACCTGGCCCCCTGGGGCGAGGGCAGAGCCCAGCATTCTGGAAAGTCCGCAGCAAGACTCGGCGACGAGCCAAACGTATGGAGAGGTCCAAGGAGACGGTCCAAAAGACGGGACCGAAAGGGAAGAAAGTGGGTCCACAGTTAGCGGTGGCTCAGGTCGGGCAGAGGCAGCCGATCAAGAGAAGGAAAATGACTCTAAATTAAGTGGGGGGGCAGACCGTTTAACAAAGGAGGAGAGACGAAAGAGGCTACTGGAGATGGTACAGAGTGAGCCGGACAAAGACCCTAATCTGCATCCTGACCAAAGACCAAAAACAGGTAATTCTTACATTTCTGAGACAATGCTGCGTCACATTACCAGTGTTGTATTACATCTTTATCTCACACACAAACAAATCCACAAATGTAGACTTTTCTTCAGCTCGTTTAACTCAAAGGAAACCTGCTGTTTGGTCTTGAAATGTTATTGGAAAGCATTGGAGTGATCATGCAATGTTTGGGGAACAAATGTAAACTTTGTGTAACACTTGTACAAAATGCTAAATATATTTGTTAGATTTTTGTAAAACCCCTAACCCGCATAAACACGGAAAAACGCAAAGCAGCAACATTTTAACGCGGGAAACTTCTGTAATGAAAGCCCAAACTCTGCTCTGTCCAGTGAAATCAGGATCACTGTTCCACATGCAAAACTCACCGAACAGCTGATGAAGAGAAGGAAAATCATGAAGTCAAAACTTAAATTTAGCTTAGCTGTTTTATAGTCGTTATTTCCACTTGGCATTAGTAATCCGCTGCCTCTGCTACACACTGGTGGCTGCCGACTGTTTAACTATTTTGGTTGTTATACAATCACTTTTAAATTTTTTTTATTTTTGCAACTTGACACCGAATGTGTCAAGTTGCAATTAAATGTGCATTTATTACTCAATGTTTTTTATAAACGTATCATACAAGTATTGTCTAATGTAAGCAAATGAATTTAAATTAAGGGAATGTGTATCAATGTATGGCCACATTTAATAACTTAAATATTAGTTTATTATGACAATTACCAGTTCAAATCCAAGAAGTGATTTTGGTTAATTAATTACTTTTCCATTCATTTTTGCCTTTGATGTGCAAAATGTCCTGTAATATTTGTCGATCTCTAAGCATTCGGACTCAGTCGAGGTCTTGACCTTGGAAAGTCTGGACTGGGTCTCAGGAGAATCGGCTGAAGTAACTGAACAGATGGGTCAACAGTAGTGGTGAAAACTGATGGGAGAGCAACGGATAGAGTTGAAGAGGCATAAATACTAAAAAATGTGGAAATGACTAAAGGAACCAGAATGGATCCAGTTGGGGAAAGGAGCAGCTCGAGGCAAATGAGGAAGAAATGAACTATTGGGATGGGGAGCAGAACAGCATTCTGGGTTAATCCAACAAAATAAATGCAAAACACACTGAACGAACACAAGAAATAAACTAAAATTACAAGATACAAGAAATCAAGTAAAGAAATGAACAAAACAGAAAGTAGCTGAAGGTAAAAGTCTTGAGCTCCAAAGGAGCATGATGACACTCCACAATAGTACATACACTGAATCTGTGTGGAGTTTTTCTACTCATGAACTCAAAGCTCTTCACACTACAGCCATATTTATTCATTCATGTTCACAAATCTGCACACATTTACACACCAACAGACAGATCAGGAGGCCACTTGGGGTTAGGTTTCTTGTCAAACTGACATGTGATAGGAATACAAGATGGCGACTCTACTCAGTGAGCCACTGTTGCCCAATAAGATCACCTGGCCTAACGGTGAAAAATATTGAAGATTATCTGCCCCTATTCTCTATGGCCACTGTATATGTGAAGAACAAGGATTACAATCTTAGTTTGTAACTCATGAGTGACTAAGTATGTTTATCTGGAAGGATGCAGCAATCTGCACATGCCAAAATAAACAGCGGCACACCTACATGTCTGCCTACTATTTGTCCTCACTTGTTCTGTGTTCTGCATTCGCAGCGCGAGCTCAAACGTACGTGTAGTAGCAGTCTGTTGAACCGAGTTCAGGTCCCTTTGGGGCACAGTTGGTCAAATTCCAAACCCAGTGTTTTTCCTTCCTGTCGCTTTCCTTTAAACCAACCTGTGGTTCAGGTTTGAGCTAGCTACTGCTCTCGTCAACTGAAAACCTGCCATGAATGTGTGTTTCTGTGCTTTCTGTTGCCCGATTGCACCACCCTTCATGTTTGTCGACCCACTTGGTAAAAGAAGGTGGCCGACTGGGACTCAGTGGGAAGAGCAGACGTCTTGTAATCTGAAAGTTGTGGGTTTGGTTTCAGTTTTTCTTCTGTCAGATGTTGATGTACCCTTGGGCAATTCACTTAACTCAAGCGGTTCGCGGATCTGTTTATCGGCGTTTGCCTGCATGCGTGCTTGTCTGTGTGGGAATGGGAGACAGTGGCTCTGGTTGGTGTGACTGGAAAAAAATCCCTAAATAAATTCAGTCCATTAACCACTTAATAAGCTTTAAAATAAGTGCATCTCTTTTTATTTACATAATTTCACAAGAAAGGTTTTAGAAAACATTAACCCTTGTTTTAAGTCCCTTTTCTCAGTGGGGATAAAAAAATACCACATTAAAAACTAATGTGGGTCTCACAAAGTCAGGCGTACCCGTGGGCCATGTGGATTTCCCTGTGCACTGTTCGCAGACCATTGAGATGTCGTGGGAGTAGAGACTTCCCACGACAAATTCCTTAATTTCCCCAAATTTCAGCTGCTTCGTCTCAAGCTTCCCTCTTTTTCATGCATCCTATGACTTTTCAAACATCTTCCATCAGACACTCAATATTTTGCACCATTTCGTCCACAAGACGGTGATGACAGTCGACCTTATCAACTTGGTGAAACAATTCAGCATGAACGCCGTTCCCTGCCGAGCAGGTTACTGTGGGGCACAGAGGGAAAATTAACTTTAGTGCAGAAATATCCGGCCGACGTCCGTCAATTTCCATTAGCGACTGGGCTGGAAGAGAATGAACGTATGAATCAATAAAAGCCATTAATGTAGTGAAGAGGGGATGTAAAGGAGGCAGACATTTTCAAACGTTCATGGCATTGTAGCAAAAAATAGTAAATTTAGGTCATAAATCTCATAACAGGCCTACAGCTTGTTTGGAAGCTACGTCAGAAACTCAAAACAACCAACCGTATCCCATTTCCAACCCAATTTGCCTAATCCTGTCTTTGTTTGTTCTGTGCGTTTTCTCCTAAAGCATCGTCCCCTGTGGAAACCGCGTCGACGGCGGCTCGTCAGGTACCGTTCCGACCCGCTTCTCCTCGCCGTAGAAAAAGAAAACACCGCAAACGTATCAGCAAATCTGCTATGAGGGCTATGATCATGTAGCGATGAAGGTAAGGATGAAGAGAAACCTACAGGCATGAAGGAGTATGTTTTGTTCAATAAAGTTTGTTATGCTCTTAAACCCATTGTCTAGGAATCATGGAGACTTCTGTTTTAGTAGTGCTAGCTACGCTATATAAGACGCTAACAAATGTGGAATAAAAATTGTCGCGTCATAATAAGAAGGGCCGGAAACGCATTCTGATTGCTGATAGTCATAGTTCCCAATTATCAATCTGAATTAAATCAGAAGGTGGACAAATTATTATTACTATTTTTTTAAATTGTATGTTTGAAATGTTGCTCTTTTCTTTCTGCAACAGGAAGCGGCTCTGCAGAATAAAAGATTGTGTAGATGAGCGATGCGTTTCCTGAAGCTGGATGTTCAGACCTGTTCTTTTACGTTCTCGGCTTGGCAGAGAGTCACCTTTCCAGCTATGGAGATGCTACAAACTATCCGTTAGTCTGGATTTAACAAGTGCAATCTCGTGAACTCCTCAACTCAGAGAGGCTTTGACACACTAAACACTGGATCTCAACTTGTGTCGTCTCAAACGCACAAATGGGGGGCGTGCTGTGGTGGCGTAAGGGAGAGCGCGACCCACATTTGGAGGCCTTGAGTCCTCGACGCGGCCGTCGCGGGTTCGACGATATTTGCCGCGCGTCTTCCCCCCACTTCTTACCCCTTTCCTGTCAGCCTACTGTCAAATAAGGGACACTAGAGCCCTCAAAAAGCCCCCTGGAGGGGAATAAAAAAAACAACAAAAAAACGACAAAAAAAAAGCACAAATGGATTAACTAAATGAGGATTTATCTGTACAGTGCTTCAGGAATGCAGGACAAGAGGCAACCATTGACTGGCTACTTTCAACAAGTTGCTTAATAGATGGATATTGAATTGCTGATTTGGGGCTAAACATGGAGTTTGAAATAATAATAAATAAAAGCGAGAAGAACTGGATTTCTACACTGGGAAGACTGGAAACTGTAGCCTACAGCCTTGGCCTCAATGCCAAAAAAATACTGTTATCCTGAAATGTTTGAGTCTAACATCATGTAACACTGTGAATCAATAGTAATAACACACTGATCATACTACACCGACTTTAGAGTCTATGTACTGTAGCTAATTGTACAGCAAAGTATCAGTAACCTGCTCAATCATTACTGCTGTCTAATAAAGTAATCAGAACAACAACTAAACGCCTGCTTTGACAAAATGCTATAGATATCCACAAGTCCTAAAGACATGGCTTTTAGAGGCTGTTGTGCACCAGTTATATAGATAATGCTACATTGTAAGAAAAAAAAGGCTTTTAAGAAAATTATTTCCTGGTGAAAGAGAAAAAAAAAGTATTTCTTAACTTATTGAAGAGGAGGATATGAAGTCGTTTGATTCTCAAGTGTAATTATTGCCACAGACATGTAATATTTGATTGTACTGTAATGAATGTTATTTTTCATAAAAGAATAATAATAAAATGATCAAGAAAAATCGCAGTGGCATCTTTGGTGGGTGTTTGGGCAACTGAAGAGAAGCCATGCAGATTATCGCTGCCTGTTTCGCTGCGCGTTGCATATTAGAATCACCTGCTCATCTGCAAGTCATGTAGCACCGTCACACGAAGCAAAGCAGCGGTCAGCAGAGTCTCTGGTTGCTATAGGTACTCATGGACAGACATGTCAACAGAGGAGTATTGAATGTTTGACAGAAGGACAAGGGAGGGAGGCAGTCGGCTCAGGAATGACAACGTGATGAATGGCAGAAAGGGTGGGAGCATACTGAGGGTCCTGAGAGGGTCCAGGAGCCTGACAGGAATGACCCTGAGATGGGGTGGGGGAAGAAAAAAATCATTTTTAGAAACAATAGTTAACCGTTTCTCACATGAGCTAGATTTGGTAGCATGTTCTGCTCTGAAAGAATATTTTTAAACTAGGACATTTCTGAAGAAATTTAAAAGGTGTCTACCAGCATGTGTGTGTTTGTCTGACCCATATCAGGTGATCTAATGCTGAAAATGAGCAAAAATGCTGAGGTTAGCTTTAATTCTGTCAGTGGTAGCATGGCATAGTGGCTAAGATGGCCTTTTGCCGTTGATTATCCAGGCAATATTATGGAAGCTAAAATGCTAAAGTTAGCTTGAATTCTGACAGTAGCATGTGGGATATCACTAGCATGTTTGACTACCAGTCAACTCAGTATGCAAACAGTGTGTACACTAAAATTAGCTAAAATTATAAGGTAAGCTTGAATTCTGTGGGGCATTACTATAATGTGGATGTACATTGACATACTCCATTTAGTATGCTAAATGTAGATAACATATCAAAAATAATCTAAAATGCTTACTTTAGCTGTAAGGCAAACATTAGCATCAGGGCTATCACCAGCCCATATAGAGACTAGCATGTAGACACTACCAGGAGGATGCAGGGTCCTGGAGGGGCATGGGAGTTTGCCCAACCAGTTTAAATGTGTTTTCTGGACCTGAAGACGTTTGACTTTGTCCCTCTGGAAATTCGGTGAGAGGTGATTCTGGAATACGGCCGACCAAGCCCCTTGATACGCGCATTTAGGTTCCTGGATGACAAGTTTTAGAGTTTGGTTTGCTTTGCAGACCGTAAGTCAGGCATGCATGTTATGGTGGGACTTGGACTCTGCCAAGTGGCCCTTTGACATGGAAGCTTTTAACGATATGTAGGGACAGAATTTCTAGGCACAGTCGAGGTTTAGGGGGATTCATTGTGGAGGGCTCAGGATCGTCTCTGCCTTTTACAGATGATATTGTTTTGTCAGCTTCATCAGCTTGAGCTGGAAGTGGGTGAAGCACCGTCTCCAGTTGGATGACAAGTAATGCCCCAAGTTTGCAAATAAGGGGAAAGACGACAGAAGATTGATAAGTAGATTGATGCGCCATCTGCAATGACGCAGCATTGGCCTGTCTCAGTGAAGACAGAATGGAGCCAAAAGGCGAAGCTCAGAAACTTTGCCTTCAAGGAATAAAGGACAACAACACCTGGACGATGTGCAGCAGATGAATCCAGCAAGGACTGACTAAAACATGAAGGACTAAAGACTGAAGATTACAGATTAATGGAAATATAATCCATGTTTCACATGATCCAAAAGCATTGTACAAGAAGACAAAATACATAAAGTCATAAATGAACAAATAACTGGGTGCCAATTGATTTAGTGGTTCAGCAGGCACTGCATCGTTTGCAGAGGTTCAATTTGCGCCCCTGCGCCATTTACTGCATGTCTTCTCCCGCCCCTCTGCCCTTCTTCTTGATCAACGTCCAATGAATGAAGGGCTCTCTCTACTGCTTCGAAATCTAAAATAAACAAATAAGTACAATTCATAAAACTCAAGGAGAAGCGTGGTTAAACAAAACGCTTTCTCAGAGATCAACAGGATTTATGATAGGAAACTATTCTCTGTGCCACATGTCCAGTCATGAGCCTGGTTGATGTCAAAACACGCAAAAGAAGCACACACATATTAAGTTAGGCTGTCTACAAGGGAAACGTGTTCTCATCTCATCCCCAGACATTTATCTGGCAGAGTACAATGCTATTTAAGGAATGAAAATAAGGCCGATGTTGTGGTGAGACAGTGATTGTGTGGCCCCTTCCCGCCTTGAGATGTTCCTTCGTGGAAAAAATCAGACAACTTCAGCTGATAAGACTCCTGTGCTCACAGGACAGTTCGAAGAACATCTTGTCTTGTTGAAAATATATTGTAGCAAAATTGCTGTCTCCTTGTGATTTTGCTACTTGCTGTATCTTTTTTTTTTTTTTTTTTTTTAATACAATTTCTTGTGCATCTCTGCAGCTTCTTAAAGATTTCTGTTCCTTACAAGCCTCTCCTCCAATAAATCATAGCCCCCCTCCGATCTGGTCCGGTTGTCTGTAGAGTAGGTGTGAGGTTTTGTGGTGTAATGAACCATTGAGGGTGAGCCAAAGTTCAGCCAGGCCACAGAGGCCACACAAACCTTCTGCCCCCAATGCGTTATGACGGTCTACGAGAGTGGCTGCACATGCACACGGTGGGCATGCGAACATGGCTGCCTGCCATCCCTGTGGTGTTCCTCTGACAAGTGTGTGTGATTGTGTTCACGGTGTTGTGAACCAAATGGAGAGAGTGTCTTTTGGCTCGACGTCCCCCCACGCCAGTAGCTTAATGAGCTGGTAGCTGGCAGCCACTGCGGGTCGGCGGCACCCTCCGGGGTTGCACCATGGTGTTTTGTGTCAACAGCTCGGCGGGTCCTCGTACATTTTACACTCGCCTGAGAAGACGAGTACACGCTTTTCGGAGAGGTCATGGCAGCTTGGCACAGCTTTAGCCGGTCAATACACGCATGGCTGCGCGGACACAGGCCGGCATCGGGGGAACGCAGCTTTCTTGCTCACCACTATGTGTTCGCGTTCACATTTGTTTTGTGAAGTTAACCCTCGGATAGTGGGGAGCGATTACATAAGGCTCTTGAGGGAAACAGAGTTTTGCGGCGTTCAACTTCTCACCTATTACAGATGTTTCACCTATCAGGACAAGCAGTTAGCAACAATATTCAGGATTTTTGATCTTAGCTTGGGCCTTTCTGTGTGGAGACGCCACATCTCGCCCTTCGTTTGAATTAAACATGCTTGTTAGGGTAACATGTCTTTTATGCCTGGTTCACGTGGCAAGATTTTTATGATGATTTTTAGGGATTTCTTCCATCCAACAAACTTAAGGATGCACCGATTATCGGGATGGCTATTGAGATAATATTGAGAGATATTCCTGTTGTGAGTACTAAGAGTGATCTGGTCTGCTCCCAAGGACTTCTGGACCACTCTGATCTAAAAGAACAAAGAAGGATATTAAAGATATTGGATAATCTTGGCTCGATATAGCTGGGTGTGTGTTGTCAGCGAGGGCTTCTGCAGTTGAATTTCACCCTGAGATCTTTTTTCCCAAAAATCATACTATTAGAGGTGTTTGTATGTGGCTTAGGCTATTAAGCAGACTCATTTTGGAGACAAACGAGAGTACGGCTTGTTCCGTTCTCGTTTGGTTGAACTTTTTGATTGACAATCAGAAAGCGAGGCGACGGAAATTCAGAATGTATAGAAGACAAAATGACTGGAATGACAAACCAGAATCCCGGTGGATGTTGGCGACATTGTTGTTCGTTAGATATTAGTCTGGCCTAAGTGTGAGCTGATGCACGATTGACTTGCGACCTGTCCAGCGTCTACCTCACCGCTTAGCTGGTTCATAGCAAGAATAATAGAGCAAATGAATGAACAGACATTTCTCCTTAAAAAACTGTATAACAAATGTACCCTGCTTTGTCTTGTTCAGGGCCAAAGGCATCAAAATAGACTCACAGGAAGCCAGTTAACAGCATGTATATTTTTGGAGTGTGAGAGGAAAACACATGGACAGGAAAACCAGGCGAAGTGCACTCACAAGGTCTCCTGCGGTTGACTGCATGGCTATGGAAGTGTGTTAAAGAAAGGGGTGATTATCGGAAGGAGAGAAAACTTCCATGGAAATTCTGCAAATTACTAAAATTGAGTGAAGGTCAGTCCAATGGGAACTGGACGAACTGGGACAGAACAGCTGTGAGGTAAGAAAACCAGGAATCAGTGACGGATGGATGAGGGTAAGAAGAGAAGCAGACGGTGTCCACTGTGTTGGCCTGCTGGTGCAGTTGGTCAAGTCTTGGTTTGGCGACATTATAAACGCAAAAAACATGAGGCCAACTGACTGCAATTCACTTAAAGAAAACTTCCCCTAATTTTGCCACTTTCCAGAAAGATACTGGCTTGTGATTGCTCAGCCCTCTTTCAACCAAATTTGACTCATTCCCGTAAGGTTGGTCCAAAGCTGTCCGCATAAGCCTGGTAAAGGTCAAAGCACTTTGTTGAATGAAAAAGTTTAGAACAGTAAGTTAATCAAATGCTTCACTGCAAAAGCTAAAATATATTATGCCAGTTTCATCCTTCTGGCATTCTGCGTTCCCTGAGGTTTTAACGAAAATCCCCAAATCCCATTTGTGGGGCGTTATGGAGCTTTAAAGAACCGATAAATCCGAAAGGATTAGCCGGCACTTATTCAGCCCATAAAATTCAACAAAAATGATTAAAAAAAAACAAACATATGAAGAAGATTTAATGTCAGAGGAGTCAGAAGAGATAAGGTATTTATAAAATAGCGATCAGGATGTGAGTCTGAATAATGCATTTCAAGTTGAATTTGTTTAAATTATTAAAAAAAACAAACAAAAAATAAAATAAAAATCAAAGGAGCCGAAATTAGATTTAATGTGCAGAGAGATTTCCATTCTCTGGCCAGCAGTTTTCACATTTCTGGCTTGGTCTGCTTCTCATTGTGACACGGCTTTGTCAATATTATCCGTCTGTCCCGATGGGGAAGTGAATCTCCCTAAAACCATTTGTTTCGTTCTCTGGAGGAAACCCAGATGACCAGCCCCGCCCGAGTGAA